AATGGGGTCACAGGGACTCTCATTTCCAGGGGTTGTTGGGAGGATGAAAGGAGCAAATGTTGGCCCAGGTTAGTCCTCCGTGGCCTTGGCAGCCCCTGGCCCTGTGGGTTGTTGCTGAGGGATGGGGGTGGTTCAGGCTGGGGGGCAGATAGGCACAGGCCCAGAAGCCCCCAGGGGAGATCCCGCGAGAAAGCGGGGAACCCCGGGCCATGCTGAGGCTGTGTCACTGAGGCTTGTGAGTGCTGGGCCAGTCCTGCCTTGGCCTGGGCGCCAGAGCCGTGGCCGCATCCCTGGGAGAATGAATGGAGCTCAGTGTGGCAGCTCCACCGAGCTCAGAGCGCCCTTTGTGCTGCCTTGAGTGGCCGTTGGGAGTGTGGCTGGGGACCTGCTGGCGGGTGGCTGTCTGGCAGGCCCTCCTCAGCCTGAGTTGGAGGCTAGCCCAGAGCAGCTCGTGGGCTCCCAGCCCTGCACATTCAAGGGTCTTCCTGCCTTCAGGCCTCGGCTTCGGCTGGACCCACACCCGCAATGCAGCTCTTCCCTGACCCCCCACCCCAGGGCTGCACAACTGGCTGCAAGTTTTGCCTCCACTGAGTGGCCCCAGCTCTAGACTGGGCCATAGTGCCTTAGGGAACCCTGCTCTGGTTTCTGTCCCCTCCCTCCTACCCCTTTCCCCCAGTCTGCAACTCAGCCACCTGCCATTTGGCCAGGTACTATTATGGATTGGAATCTTTCAACTTCAGTGGCTCAGTGGGTTAAGCCTCTGCCTTCAGCTCAGGTCATGATCTCAGGGTCCTGGGATCGAGCCTCACATCGGGTTCTCTGCTCGGCAAGGAGCCTGCTTTCCCTCTCTTTCTGCCTGCCGCTCTGCCTGCTTGTGATCTCTCTCTCTGTCAAATAAATAAATAAATAAAATCTTAAAAACAAAACAAAACAAAAGGAATCCTTCAACTTCATAGTCAAAGGCACTGGACCCAGACGAACCCAAGTCCAGAGCCCATGTGTAGGACCCCAGGGAAGTCACGTCCCCTTGCTGAGCCTTTTCTCATCTGCAAAATGGTACAAACACAACATCCCTCCCATGATCCCGTGGCAGTGAAATGAAACACTTATAGTGAGTTTTATCCATATTACATTCACTCGCACCCTTATTTGCATGTTCCTGACAGACCTCCCATTCCCTGAAGGAGGAATCGGCCCTCTGTAGCCATACTGGCCCCATGCCTGCTCTACTGTAGGTCTCGGCATCTCCCAGCTTGACCCAGCGGTCTGGTAGTGTGGGTTGTCTGGGTTGATGGTAGATGACGCTAGGCTTTGTTTTGTTGTTGTTGTTGTTGTTTTAATTCTAAGTAGACTCCATGCCCAATGTGGGGCTTTAACTCACACCCCCGAGATCAAGTGTGGCACACTCTACAGTCTGAGCCAGTCAGGTACCCCAACCCTGGGCTTTGAAAGCAGAGACCTGGCCTTGAGTCCCAGCTCCATAGCTTCCTGGCTGTGGGCAGGCCTCGGGCAGGCCACATCACTACTCTGAGCCTCAGCTTCCTCTTCTGGAACTTGGGCCCCATAGAGCAACCTCTTAAGAGGGGCCCTGGAAAGCTCTGGGGAAATGACACATATCAACACAGGGCTGGGCACAGGGTCAGCACCCAGCTGCATGTCCGTGGCGTACAGGGCCGCACGCATCATGCCGCCATCCTCCATCTGATCTCCCCGTGTCCGGTGCTCCTTTGTCTCCTGGGACATACCAGCAGCTTGGAGCAGTCCACCCATGAGCCTGTCTTCTGCTTCCCTCCATATGCCCCTCACCCTGTCCCTGCTCAGGAGAGGAAGACAGAATATCTGGGGCAGAGTCAAACAGCTGGCCTGTAGCTCCCTCTTCTAGTCCGTGCCTCAGTTTCCCTAACTGTTAATTGGCAGCAGGACCAGAGGCTCTCACACAGTCTGGTTGGTCAGTCAGCAAACATTTACTGAGTCCTGGCCACATGCCTGGCTTGGCCGGCTTAGCTGATTCAGGGAAGCAGGAAACATTTTCCTCAAACCAGCAAATCTGAAGTCAGAGGCAGTGAGAAATCATTTCCAGCCAGGACCTAATTTCTTCACACTTCCACCTGGGGGATCAGGGTCCCCATGCTGGGGTTGGGAAGGGGTGGACAGCCTTCTCAAGGGGTGGGAAGGGGTGGGCAGCCTTCTCAAGGGCTCCCGAGTGCTTCTGCCAGAGAGGACAGAGGGCCCAAAACTCGGAGGGGAAGTGACTGGCGGATGTCGGGGTTCAGGCCAGGGGCTGGAGGTGACAACATCACCGGAACATCTGCTGAGGCCTCTGCCCACAGGATGTGACTTAGGGAGAGCTCGTGGGAAACAGGCAGGGGCCGCCGCCTAAGAATCTGATGGCGGAGGCCACCCAAAACCATGATACACCCTCATACTACCGTCCCCTCCCATGTCTCCCATGGACATCTGGGACACCTAGGCCAGCGGTGCTGTGCCCTGCCCATGCCCTAGCTCTGCCCACAGCCCAGATAGGTGGAGTCCTGACATGGCTAAGTGCTCGGGGTTTGTGCCAGATTAACCTGGTTCAAATACCAGTGTGGCTGCTGGCCAGCTGTTTGGCCCTGGCTGGTGATGTTACCTCTGCATGCCAGTGTCCTTAGGTGTATAAAGAGGTGTATAATAGTTCCTACCTCATATAGCTCAGTGAGAATTGAGATAATTCCCAGAAAGTGCTGAATGTATGGCTTGGACCGTTTATTTTTCCTCAACAAATTATAATTACTACAATTATTATTGTTCTTTCCCTCCTTGCCCTTCCCACCCCCAATTTAGCCAATGGCCTCCCAGCTTCTACAGTGTACCCAGAAAGCTGACCCCAGATCACTCCCTGACATGTCTCATGACTGCCTAAAACCCTTGATGGCCTCACACTGACTTCAGGAGGGGGCTCCCTGCTGTTTGCCTGACCCTCGAGGCCTTCTATGGCGGGGCCCTCTCCCAGAACAGAGTCCCTTGGACGCCAGGGGACACCATCAGAACTGCTTCCTCCTACAAGGAGGCTGCCAGGCCAAGCCATGAGGGGTAAGGGCTGCTGAGCCACCCTAAGGGCTTCCTGCAGGGAGACAGGTAACAGGGTGCACTGAGGAGCACAGCCCCAAAGGTGGGAGAGTCCAAGGAATTAGCAAAGTGCAGGAGGAGAATTCTTGGGAGAGAGCTGGAAAGAGCCCAAATGTCACAGTCTGTGTTTTCCTGAAAGACAGTGGGGGAGGGAAATACAGACAGATCCCGTTTTAGAAGGACCTGGAAGGTGCTGTGAGGAGGACAGACGGAGAGGCCAGACTGGGAAGACCAGGACTCAGGACCTATCAGCAGAGGACTGGAGAGGAGGGGCAGACTGAAGGGGTGCAGAGGTGGTAGAAAGGACAGCTTTGCTGTGGGTTGATGGTTGAGTAGAGCTGGAGGAAGAATCTAGAGGCTTCTAGAGCAGGGAGGATATCAGGAAAATGCTGGGGAAGGGTTGGAGTAGGGGAAGGGGGCATGGGGTCAGGGAAGGAGATGGGTGGGGGGCTTGGTGCCTGGCAGAGGGTTGGCAGGTCTCCAACAGCACCATTGCTATACCCCTGGCCAGACTGTAAATAGCCTGACTCAGGAGACTCCTCCTCAGAATCAGAGACTAGGTTCCAGTCCCAGCACTGTCACTCTATGACTTTGGTCAAATGACCTCACCTCCCTGAACCTCAATGCCCTCTTCTGTAAAATGGGCTGGTTAATCTATTGATGGGGCGGTTGATTCAGCAGGATTCAGCTAGCATCTACCCAGAACCCCTGTGTGCTCAGGGGTTCTGGGTAAATGCTAGCCATTTTTGTGATTACTGACCCGGGATTGACCAGCTCGGCGCAGCTCAGCGGGGATGGAACTCCTGTAGGTTTCATCCCTGCCTCCCACAAAACAGGAGGTTTAGGGCTAGAAGGCCCGGGCGTTGCTCGCTCGCCGCCTCCGGTGTCGCCGCGCCCCCTAGCGGCCGTCGGTTGCCATGTCAACGGCGGGTGGCTGGGGCCCGGGGAGGCGGCGGCGGGGGCCGTTCTCTCCTCCCAGGACCCGAGGCCGCTCCCTCGGCGCCTCCCGCCTTCGCCTGTGGAGGGACACTCCGAGCCGGGGAGGAGAGGGCTCTCCGCGGCTGCTGACATGTGGGGGTAAACTGAGGCACGCGGCAACGCGCCCCGCAGCCAGGTGTCGAGCGCGGGGCCCCACCTCCGAAGGCGGAGGAGGGGCCGCGGGCGGTGACGCGCCGAGGGCGGCCGGCGGACAGCGGGCGGGCGGCGACGGCGGCTGCGGCGGCAGGTGCGGCCGCGGAGGGTGGGAGGGAGGAGGGAGGGGGCGGGCGGAGGGGGAGGGGAGGGCGAGGCCGGGGCACCTCCCCCTTTATAACGCGCCCCCTCCCGGGCTCTTGGGCCGCCTCCTCGTCGGCTCTTCCCGTCTCGCCCCCTTGCCCGGCCGCCCCGGGCCCGGGCCCGGCCAGGGAGCCCCCAGGCCGCGGCTCGGGGGCCGCCCCTCCGCCCGCCGCCCCGCGCAGCCCGGCGGAGGCGGCGCCGTCGGAGGAGGAGGAGCAGGGCACTGCGGCTGGCCCCGGATCGGGCGCCAGAGCGGCAGCGGCTTCGGCAGCAGCGGCGGCCCGGGCCGATGCAGCGGGACGCACCGCCCCGAGCCCCAGCCCCGGCGCCCCGGCTCCCCGCGCCCCCGATCGGGGCCGCCACCAACAGTGGCGGCGGCGGAGGCGGGGGCAGCGGCGGCGGCGGAGGCTCCTCTGCAGCTCCGGCTCCTCCTGGCCTCCCGGGAACTACAAGTCCCAGGGGGCCTGGCGGCGGGCGGCGGGCGGAAGAGGCGGGGTCGGCGCCGCGAGGCCGGAAGTGGCCGTGGAGGCGGAAGTGGCGCGGCCGCGGAGGGGCCTGGAGCACGGTGGCGGGGCCGGGAGCGGGAGCAGCGGCGGCGGCGGCGGCTGGGGGCGGTGGCGGCGGCGGCGGTGGCGGCGGCGGTGGCGGAGGCGGCGCGCTGGAGGCAGCCATGGCAAAGCAGTACGACTCGGTGGAGTGCCCCTTTTGTGATGAGGTGACCAAATACGAGAAGCTCGCTAAGATCGGCCAAGGCACCTTCGGGTAAGGCTGCGCCCCGGGCGGGGGGGTGGGAATCGGGAACCCTGAGCTTGCACTCCTCAGGGCCGTCGTCGGGATTCCCAGGGCCAGGCCCAAGCTGGTCGGGAAGCCCCGGAGCACCAAACGTGTCCCTTGGTCTCGCTAGGCCGCGCCGCAGCCCGCCAGGGCCTGATGGAGCCGGCTGGCTGGGAGGAGCCTGAGGCCCGTGATGGGGGGCGGGGTGGGGTTGCAGAGAGGAGCCTGTGAGGTGAGCGGGCTCTCCGAGAGACGCCTGGGTGAGGAGACCGAGGAAAAGAAGTAGAGGCTCGGAGAAGGACCGCAGATAGCGGGTGGCAGGGTAGGGGAGTGCCCTGGGTACCCGGCCCAGCCCCGCCCGGGGAATCCCTTTTTGCTGCCCTCCTCCTCTGGTGGGGGAGGGGCGGGCCCTGCAGAAACGACTTGATGAATCCTCTTGGGTCCCCCTCTCTGCCTGCAGGGAGGTATTTAAGGCAAAGCACCGTAAGACCGGCAAAAAGGTGGCTCTGAAGAAAGTGCTGATGGAGAACGAGAAGGAGGGGGTGAGTATGGGCCGGGTGGGCGGGCCTGCCAGCTCCCATGGGCACGGGGTTGGGTTTCCACCCTGCTCCTGCTAGGGCTCTCGCCTGGAGAATCAGTGTGTGTGTGTGGGGGGGGGGGTAGTTTGGAAATTTCTGTGTTCCAGAGAATTTGAGTTCTAAATTGAATTTTTTTATACAAATGTTTTAGAGCGTTTGATGTTTCATTCTTAGGTAAATACGGTTGGGGCCAGGAGGGGGAGCTCATGCTTGCAGAGTCCGCCTTGGTTTCTGAAGTTAGAAAGCCTTTAAACAGTGCTTAAAGCTGTGTTCTTAGCATTTGTTTTGTGTAAGGCAAAAAGCAATCGCACGCGATGACTTTAAGAGGGTGACTGGTACTCCTTGAAAAGGAGCTGCCCCGCCTTAGCCCTAGTCCAGCTTCCCAGAGACCTGCTTCTTAGCAAGGACGTTACTTTAAATAGCTGTTTTTGTTACCACCTAGTAAAATACAGGCATAGAGCTAAAATTTAAAGGTTGAAGAAACTGTGGAGCATTTAGTGACTGGTAGTGAAGCCTGTGTGTCAAGCCCCACTGTTGCGTTTTATTGTCTCAAACCACCTCCTTGAGGGGCACATACTATTTTTATACCCGTTTTACAGATAAAACGTCTGAGGTGGTTGATTTCAGAGCCCATGACTTTACTCTTTTTTTCCCCACCTTTGTCTCTTAATAAGGACTCCATGGCTTGTTCATTGGTTCATAGTTCACTCACTCACCTCTGACCCCCTCTGTCTTTCTCCCACCCAGTTCCCCATTACAGCCTTGCGGGAAATCAAGATCCTCCAACTTCTAAAACACGAGAATGTGGTCAACTTGATTGAGATCTGTCGAACCAAAGGTAAGTGGTGTGGATCTTGCCCCCATTTCCAGATGGGGAAAATGAGACTTAGAGCCTAAAGGCTTTGTTTGCAAAGTTGGGAAGCGGACACACCTAAATTGCCTCTTCTTAACCCAGACACCCCAACTGTGACTGCTCTCTTGGGTCCCTTCAACGTAGCTGTTCTGCCCCAGGGCCTGCCACAGCACCCGGCCCAGAGGAGGCACTCAGGAAATAGTTTTCCAGTGAAGGAGTGCACAGCTGTATATCCCAAGTGTCCATGGGTTGGAAGGGTAGAAGCTGGTGGTGGGAAAATGAGTTGCACGTGGGATTTTTTACTTTATTTTTCTCACCCCCCCCATTCTTCCCATCTCAGCTTCCCCCTATAACCGCTGCAAAGGCAGTATATACCTAGTGTTTGACTTCTGCGAGCATGACCTTGCTGGGCTGCTGAGCAATGTCTTAGTCAAGTTCACACTGTCCGAGATCAAGAAGGTCATGCAGATGTTGCTCAACGGCCTCTACTACATCCACAGAAACAAGGTGGGGGTCAGAGTGGGGAAAGAGGGACCGAGGCTTTGGTTGGCCTAGGCTCCCACTGCTGGGTGGACGTGACTGAGGGCCCCTGGAGGCCTGACCGAGCCCTCTCACACTTCCCGCAGATCCTGCACAGGGACATGAAGGCGGCTAATGTGCTCATCACTCGTGATGGGGTTCTGAAGCTGGCAGACTTTGGGCTGGCCCGGGCCTTCAGCCTGGCCAAGAACAGCCAGCCCAACCGCTATACCAACCGTGTGGTGACGCTCTGGTACCGGCCCCCGGAGCTGTTGCTCGGTGAGGACTCCCGAGCGGGCGGAGGGGGGCAGGGGCTGGGCACTTACCCGGCCTCAGTCCCCCACTGCCAGGGCTTCTTGAGCCGCCGGCCCCCGGGCATTGCGTCTCAGGAGGCCCTCGGGCTCAAGGGGCCCTCCTGGTGCGCTCTTCTTCCCAGGGGAGCGGGACTACGGCCCCCCCATTGACCTGTGGGGTGCTGGGTGCATCATGGCGGAGATGTGGACCCGCAGCCCTATCATGCAGGGCAACACCGAGCAGCACCAGCTTGCCCTCATCAGCCAGCTCTGTGGCTCCATCACCCCTGAGGTGCGTGGCCAGGCTGCCTGGGCCCCTGGGCCCCTGGGCCCCGCAGGCTGCAGAGATCCGGAAGTCCTCCTGGCAAGGGAGGAGTGGGGAGTGGAATGGAAGGACAGCTCTGGAGAGGTGGCTGGTGGTGGGACAGGGCCTGCTCTTTAGAGCCACACGGGCTATGCTTGAGTCTCGCCCCCATCACAGATCGTGGCCTTGGGGAGGGCATTTGAATCCCTCACCTCGGAGCGGAGTTTCTCTGCTGTGAGTCAGCTGCGCCTGTGTCAGGCCTGGTGGGCGCATGCCAAGCGCTTGTATAAAAGGCATGGCGCTTGGTGTGTGCCAGCTACACGGTCACTGCTGCTTTTACCTTGGAGAGGTCAAGTTCACCCTCCAGGGTGGTCTGGGAGCATCCGATGGGAGAAGTTTTCGTCCCTTCGGGTGCCTAACCAGGGGACAAGCCATGTACCCCCTGAATTAACAACACCTTTGCTCCATGCCTCCTGCACAGGTGTGGCCCAATGTGGACAAGTACGAGCTGTTTGAGAAGTTGGACCTGGTTAAGGGCCAGAAACGGAAGGTGAAGGACAGGCTGAAGGCCTACGTGCGGGACCCCTATGCTCTGGATCTCATCGACAAGCTGCTGGTGCTGGACCCTGCACAGCGCATCGACAGTGATGACGCCCTCAACCATGACTTCTTCTGGTCCGACCCCATGCCCTCAGATCTCAAGGGCATGCTCTCCACGCACCTGACGTCCATGTTCGAGTATCTGGCGCCGCCACGCCGGAAGGGAAGCCAGATCACCCAGCAGTCCACCAACCAGAGCCGCAATCCCGCCACCACCAACCAGACGGAATTTGAGCGTGTCTTCTGAGGGCCGGCTGCCCGCCCTTTTCGTTAGGGCAGTTTTATTTTTCCTTCTGCTATGTGACTTGCATTGTGGAGATGATGGGGCATTTGAGTTTTCTCTAGTGCTTATTTTATTTCCTCCCTACTCTGGGCACTGGGAACACCAGCTGAGCGGACTGGAGGAAAGCTTTGGCTGAAAGTCCTGGAGGGCACTGGGGTGCCTTGCCTTGTTCCCTGGCTTTCGAGATGATGCCCAGAGGGTCTCCATTTACTTTCAGACAGGAATGGGGTGGGAGGAGAGGCACACCCCACCAGTGACTTTGTAAAGAGAGTTCCCAGTGTGGTAGGAGGAAGGGACAGGTCCCTCACCTGTTGCCAGCCCTCCTCTCAGGTGAGAAACTGGTGTGGGGGACGGAACCAGCCCCGGGAATGGGCTGCTCTTGGCCCAACCCTCCGAAGCCCCAGGGCTGGCAAAAACTTGGTTTCTTCAATAGAGAATTTTATCGTGTTTCTTTTGCTCAGTTTGGAGACATTCCTGGACAGTTTGGTCAGTTATAATTAAAGTTGACTTTTTTTTTTCAGTAAGTGGCTATGTGCTGTGTTCTGTGTTCACACCCCCAGCCCTGCACCCTGTGGCCAGCACACTAGGCCTCACAATTGATTTGTCAAGTCTTGATTCTTTTCTTCATCCCAGTTCATGTCCCCAGATATAATTGTGGAGGACTTTTGTCTTTTTTTTTCTTTTGAGTACCTTCCAGAACACTTGGCCTGCTCCTCCAGAGAGCAGGCGCCATGATGCTCCCTAGCTCCTGTCCACTGTGTCGAGGGAGAAGGAAGACAGATGAGACAGGGTCTCGGTCCCCGAAGAAGGAACTGGGGAGGGACTGCTGTAAGCTGCATGCCGTGTGACTCCATCTGCTCTGCGTCATAGACATGCTTGAACCTGAGGCTGCAGAAAGTTCTCCATCAGTGGAGTGACAATAGTTAGATTTGTAACTTAACAAAGGTTCCTCGGGCTGCTAAGTCTTGGGTGGCCTAGGGCAGGCAAGAAATGACCAGAGCAGTTGAAGGGAGATCTCTGGGGACTTGGGGAGATGGCAGTCACTTGGATTAGGGTAGCCAGTGGGCAGGAGGACAGAGAGCAGTGGGAAGGTTAGAGTGTCTGGTGTCAGAGCTACAGTCCTTGGAGGAGAAGCACATTTTGGCGGATAACGTGCTGGGAACCTGAAGCCAGGGATAGCTATATTTAAGGCAAATTCTGCATTCTGTCACAGGAGGAGGCCTTTGGAAGCGGGTCCCTGAAGTAAGGTTGGCAAAACTTTTAACCAGAACTGTCTCTAGAAATGGACCCAGATCTCCAGATAACACACTTCGCAAAAGGCCAGAAGTTAACAAAAAACAAACCTTAAACTTCCTGACTAGTGTTTTAGTTTGTCAGGGCTGCCGTAGAAAATCGCATAGTCACACAGGTGGTTCACAACAAATTTATTCTGTCATTGTTCCAGAAGCTAGCAGTCTGAAACCCAGGTGAAGCCATTAGTGGGTCCATCAGGGTCCATCAGAATGTTCCATGCCTGTCTTCTAGCTTCTGGTGATCGCTGGCAGTCCTTGGCTTTCCTTGGCTTGTAGATGAACCTCTCCAGTCTCTGCCTCTGGCTTCACCCTGTGTTCTGCCTTCTGTGTGTGGCTGTCTCTCCCATGAGAACACCAGTCCATGGATTTAAGATCCACGTTGATCCGGTATGATCTCATCTTAACCAGCTACATAGGCAAAGACTCTTATTTGTTTTTTAAGATGTTTATTTATTTATTTATTTGCTTATTTATTTATTTTTGAGGGAGGGAGGGAGTGAGAGAAAAAGCAGAAGTAGTGGGGGGTGTGGAGCCTCAGAGGCAGAGGAAGAAGCAGAATCCCCACTGAACAAGGAGCCCGGTATGGGGCCTAATCCCAGGACCCTGAGATCATGACCCCAGCTGAAGGCAGGCACTTAACTGACTGAGCCACCCAGGTGCCCCTGCAAAGACCTTTTTAAATCAGGTCACATTCTGAGGTTCCAGGTGAACATGGGTTTCTTTTCTTTTTTTTTTTTTTTTGAAGACTTTATTTATTTATTTGAGAGAGAGAAAGCTTGAGAAGGGAGAAGATCAGAGGGAGAAGCAGACTCCCCATGGAGCTGGGAACCCGATGTGGGACTCGATCCTGGGACTCCAGGATCATGACCTGAGCCAAAGGCTGTCGCTTAACCAACTGAGCCACCCAGGCGCCCTGAACATGGGTTTCTATTCAACTCAGTACATTAGCAAGTAATCCAGCCCGTGTGGAAACAATTGCAAGGTGTCCTAATGGCTATTGAGTCTATAGTTGTTGGTTTTTTTTTAATCTTTTTTTTTTTTAAGATTTTATTTATTTATTTGACAGAAATCACAAGTAGACAGAGAGGCAGACAGAGAGAGAGAGAGGAGGAAGCAGGCTTCCTGCTGAGCAGAGAGCCCGATGCGGGGCTCGATCCCAGGACCCTGAGATCATGACCTGAGCTGAAGGCAGAGGCTTTAACCCACTGAGCCACCCATGCGCCCCTTTTTTAATCATTTTTAATTTATCTGCGTACAGGAGGAGGGGCAGAGGGAGAGGGAGAGAATCCCAAGCAGGCTTCACACCTAGTGTGGAGCTGTCACGGGGCGGGGGGTGGGGGGAGCCGATTTCACGACCTCGAGATTATGACTTAAGCTGAAACCAAGAGTCGGACTCCCAGCTGAGCCACCCACGTGCCCCTCAAGTCAGTAGATCTTGAATGACCTAACTGACGAGGGGAATCTCCTGTCCTAAATTGTCAGAGGTGTGTTTGTTAGTTTGTTTTCTCTGAAGGAGATAACAAGCTGCTCTGAGAGAGGCTCATGTTCTCTGACCCAGCAATTCCTCTTACAGAAGTTTCCACGGACACAATGACAGCCCGTTACCCCGTCGAATCCTCACCACGAGCCCAGTAGTTTGATTCCTCCATTCAGCGTGTTTATTGTCTGCGTCTTCCAAGGACCAGACTCTTCTAGACTTGCTACAGCTACCAAGCTGTGACCACTCCCATCTCTATGGAACTCACGTTCTAGTAGGTTCAAACTAGTCTGATGGGATAGATTGTATGGCAGACGATAAAGTGGAATAAGAAGGGAAAAGAGTGGGAGTCCATGGAGGGGCTCAGGGTGACACGAGAGCAGAAATCCCAAGAGAGATGGGGCATACGGGGAGCTAGAGGGTCACGCAAGTGCCAGGATCCAAGGCTAGGAAGCTGTCAGAGAGCCTTGTGCAGAGGGGGACACGGTTTCGAAAGGTGCAGTGACTATGCTGGGGAAAACCGAGGCAGAGCTGGAAGCTGGGGGAGCAACTGGGATTCTGGAATAATCCAGGCTTGAAGAAAAGGGCTTTGAACCAGCCTGGTGACGCAGCTGCTGGCGTGCATGTTGGTTTATGCGTGGCTGGCTGTGAGGACAGGTGTGTTTTCAGGTTGGACGTGAGTGTGAATGAAAGGATCCCGGAATCCCAGGCTCTGCTGGAGGGAGGATAGTGCTGCCGTCTCCGAGACCAGGAAGGCTGCAGGAGGCCAGGCCAAGGCACGGGTGGTCCAGCATGGTAAGATGGAGAGGACAGGTGGACATCCCTTGAGTCAGCAGGTGTATACCTAAGGCTCAACCAGGGCCCCCGGAATCTGGGCAGGGGGCACACTTGGGGATGGGGCCAGTGCCACGGTTCTGAAAGGTCTAGGGCAGGAGGAGATCGTGAGACAAGAGGGGAGAACAGAGATTGTGGCCCCCTGGGCCCTCCAGTGTTCAGAGGTCCTCAGGGAATCAAGAACAGCAACTATGAGGTAAGAAGGGAGCAGAGACTGAGGGTGTTCTGGGCAGGTGGGAGTGGCGGCTTGGACAAGCGCCACTGTTGGGTCCCAACAGTGGGGTGATGGCCAGCAGGCAGAGCCACATCGGGGTCAGTAGTGGGTGCTCCAGGTGAAAACCTGCCGAGAGCAGTAGGATTACTGGAGGACGGGACGAAGGGACTTGAAGACAGGAAGCGGCACCATCTGCTGTGAAGAAGGGTTAGGGATCCAACTAGTCCTGGGTAGTCACGGACGAGCCGTGACATGGAATGACCCAGCAGAGATGACACACATTGATTCTCATCCTATAGACAAAAGGGCCATGTGGCCAAGGGTTCAGTGGCCATGCAAGGGCCCTTCTTCCCTGTAGTTCTTCTGGATGGTTTTGTCCTTCGCGTTTCTTTGCTTTCTCCTATTTCCTGAGTTCATATTTTCCCTCATGCAGTCAAGTGGTATTTTAAACCAACAAAGCAGACCCGAGGCCCTGGGGCTGCTGGCTCCGAGCCTCCTACCCCAACATGAACTTCCCCAAGGGGAGGCTGCGTGAACCAGCCTCAGACCCTGGTATGCTGCCCCTGGTATGGCTTCCCCGGCTGTGGAGGGAGATGGCCTTGAATAAAAGCTCCTAGAGGGCAGGGCTTGTGGGGCATTCCCCTGGGGCACCTAGAGGAGAGCCTGGTGTCTTGAGTCCCAGTTACCTCAGCGAGTCACCCCCGTAAGCAGCTGGCTCGAGAGGCTGTGTCGTCCCAGGCGGGAAGGGCCTTCACCAGCTCCTTCCGCCCAGCCCTCCGCGTCGCCTGGCCGGTCTGTGTTCTGACTCCCTTTTTTTTTTTTTTTTTTAATATTTTATTTATTTATTTAACAGAGAGAGAGAGAGAGATCACAAGTAGGCAGAGAGAAAGGCAGAGAGAGAGGGGGAAGCAGGCTCCCCGCCGAGCAGAGAGTCCGATGCCCCCTGACTCCTTTTTGAGCAGATGGTTTTGATGAGGGAACAGAAGGCAAGCTGAGGACAAAGCAGAAGCTGACACCCTACAACCACCCCCACCCCCCACGAGATACATGGGACATTCCTCAGACGCTGTGGGCTGTCCTAAAGGAAAAACAGTTAACTTGTAGAGATCACAATCCTGTAGGACCTGAATCTCCCTCAGTTTACAAATGTCCTGGTGATTTACAAGGAAGAAGCTTTCTTATCAATAGCCTGACTTCCAGAGACCTGTAACTCGGTTTCCCAAAGCCCTAACATCACTGTCCCCTCCATAAAATTGAGGGAGGCTGAGGCAGAAGGAAAGGTCAATAAAATAGAATTTCTTTTAAACCTGCAGCCCAGGGGCTCCTGGGTGGCTCAGTGGGTCAAAGCCTCTGCCTTTGGCTCCGGTCATGTTCCCAGGGTCCTGGGATTGAGCCCCGCATAGGGCTCTCCACTCAGCGGGGAGCCTGCTTCCCCTCCTCTCTCTGCCTGCCTCTCTGCCTGCTTGTGATCTCTGTCAAATAAATAAATAAAATCTTTAAAAAAAAACCAAAAAATAATTTAAAAAATAATAAAAAAAATAAACCTGCAGCCCATTGACAAGGACGTGTGATAGGAGGAAGCTCCCAACTGTCTTACTCTTAATGCCTTACTAGAAGGAAAACCAACTTTGACAAATAGCAAAGCTTCCGGGATCCTGTGTGTCTTCTTTAATACATGAAAGTTCTTTCTCAAAACCTCCCTTTTTCCTTACCTGCCCCCAAGCCCCATAGTCTATAATCAGCCGCCCCTCACAACCCGCCCCTCACAACCTCACAGCAGCTTTTCCTGCCCTCGTGCTTTTACAAACCACCATTTTTCACCCAAGATGCCTCAAGAAGGCTCTGGGCCTCGCCCCACTGAACTTCACCCATATTCCAAAACCACCTCACGTTGGTGAAACACAGCCTCAGCAGGCTCTGACCCCTCAGGTCAAGGGCGCCTGGGTGTCCTGCCCCATGGCCCTGGGCTCCCAGCCTGGCACAGCCAACACACAAAGGGCACTAACTGTAAGGGGAGGTGGGCTGTGATAAGAGAGGCCAGATACGGCCAACCCTGTTCTGTGGGAAGCCCTGCCCCAAAGTCTGGAAGTTTCCCAAGTGCTCTCATCTCTATGCGGGCCCCCACCTGCTCACTCACCTTTAACCGTCTCCGGGCTGTTATTTAACTGGGGAGATTCACCAGAGAAGTCCCTCCCTGGGCCGATCCCCAGGACGAGAGCAGGCACCTATCAGGTAAGACCTTCCTCCCTGCTCACAGGGGAGGCCCAGGGCCAAGAGGCAGGGAGAGGGAATCCCCGATATACCCCTCCTCTCTGGCCCAGCTGAACCCAGGGCAGAGCAGGCTTGGCAAAGGTGCCCTCACCCATGAATCACTTTGTACCCAGCCCTGTTGGGGTGTGGGAAGCCCGGGAATGAAAGGTGCCAGGTCCCTGGCAACCCGCTGGACAGGGGCTGAGAAGGTGTGGTGGAGAGCAGCCATGGAACGGTCCGGCCCATCCACGAGAACTTTCTCAGCTAAAACTGCCTCCTTCCAGGTAGGAGAACTTGGTGACCTTGGGCAGGTGGCCTGTCTCTCCAAGCTTCCATCTCTTTCTTCTGCATAACGGGTGTGTATATATCCCTCGAGGCCACAGGCCATCAGCAATGATAAAAACCCCACACTTGGCGGGGCCCCAAGGGCGAACCTTGTCATCGATAAACCTGGTTCTAAGGGCTTGGGGTGATCAGGGGCCCTCCTGCGGGCCTCAGTTCCACCTTCTAACCCAGCTGCCCGCCCACTGTGGTGGTGGGGGAGCTCTAGGGGAGGGGTCTGCAGAGCAGAACGGACAGCAGGCCTGGGAGGTGCCGAGGCCCCTCGTGGGGCTTCCTGCGCTCCAGGCACCGCGGACATGGTTCCTAGACTGTTCTCACCAGATTTAACTCTGACTGCTCATTCAGGAAGGGTTGTTAGTGCCACTAAAATAATAATAATAGTAGTCATAATGGCAATCCTGGTCCCTGGCTTCCTACCTGCTGGTCCTATGCCCATGCGCTCTTCCTTTTGTAGATTCCGAAGGTGCAGTAGTGGCTGTTAGGGACCTAACCCGTTAAAGACTTCTAACCCCCATCTGGAGCTTGCTCTGGGGTCCGGGCACAGCACCCTCTCATTCTGCCTCACCCCACCCCTCTGAGGTGGGCACGACCGTGACCCCTGCTTTACAGATGAGGAAATGGGGCTCAGAGAGGTGAGGAGACTGGCCCAGGCTGCCCAGTCTGGCTCCGGCAAACGCTGGCCGGAGCTGGGGTACAGCCGGCTGGGCCGCAGGAGTCTGAGCGAGGAGATCAAGGTTCAGGACCAACAGGCGCTAGCCCAGTGACTTGGCCTTATCAAGCCTCAGTTTTCTCCTCTGCTAAATGTGCACACAGCGAGTCAGCACCTGCTTCCCTCTTGGGACTGTAGTCTGAAGGCCAGGCCAGAACCGGAAGGCCGCCGTCAGTGTGTCCTGGGGCCACTCTCACCCAGACCATCCTGACCCACGGAACCTTCTGCCCAGCAGACGAGGGGTGGCTCCAGATTCCAGGGTTTGAGATTATCCAGGTCCCCTTACCTTAGAGGCCAGGACCCTAGGGAGGACAGATGACTTTCCCAGGGTCACACGGTGTGGGTCCCCCACCAGGAGAGAGAACTGAGGACACCCCAAGGGCTGTGGGGTGCTGGCATTTTGCCTGGCTCCCTGAGTCAGTGGGGCCTCCCTCTGAAGTAAGAGCCAGCTCAAGGCCAGAGCCCCATTGATTAAATGACCAGGTCACCTGACAGGACACAGGGCTGGGGTGGGGCAGAGTCCAGGGGTGGCCAGGGAGTGGAGTCTGGGGCTTGGCATGACAGACCGCTGTGAGTGACTGAGCTATTTTCCCTAGTAGGTCTTCCTCTGCCTCCCTGAGAAAGGGTCCAGGAAGAGAAGCAGTGCGTAAAGATTGGTGCACAGGGCTGATGTTTAGAAAGAATTCATGTTAACTATTACTTAAGAAAATCCAAGTCACCAATGCAAAAAAAAAAAAAAAAAAAAGACAAGGATTCCCAAGCTTGATGAGCGGGTCTAGATCAGAGGCGACTGGGGGTGCCTGGCAGACTCAGTCCGTGAAGTTTGTGACTCTTGATCTTGGGGTTGTAAGTTCGAAACCCACGTTGGGTGTAGAGAAAAAATAAAATAAAAAAATAAATCAGTAGCAGCTGGAATCAAATGGAGCTGGGACTGAGCCGAATCCTTGCTCCCAGTTCCCCTTGCCAGCTGGTGAGCTCCACATGGGATTCTGCACCTCCGGTCTTCGGTTCCTTCCTGGTTGCATGGGCTCAGCCCAGCAGCTGGCAAGGAGGAGGTGATGAGGACAGTCATGGTTGCAGGGTGAGATAACAGACTAAAAACCAAAATAAGTTCCGCACACATGCTCTGCCTCTGAAGGTCAGCGAGCCAGCTGTCCACCGGTTTGAGCAGAGAAACCCAAAGACACTCAGGCCGCTGGGGAGGAGGCCAGACTGAAACCAGCCTCTCTGTGGGCTGGCCTACCGCAAGGCCTCGCACCACACACCTGGTGCCCTCTGAGGACCCCTCTTGGCCATGAGGGAAACCCCAGGAACATCCCAAGCACATCCATGGAGCCACGCCTGGTCCCATGTCAGCTGTGGCCCCTTGCTGGGCCTCAGTGTCCCCAGGGCAGATGGTGAGCAGAATGTGGCAAAAGGATGACATCTGAGCAGAGACCTGGGATGATGGGGAGTCGGTCCTGGGAACTTTTGGGGGAAGAGCATTTCAGGCAGAGGGAACCACCAGTGCAAAGGCCCTGCGGCTCTTTCGTGCATTCACTCTGTGTGACCTTCGGCTGACTGAGTAACCACTCTGTGCCCCAGTTTCCCATGTGTATAATGAGGATAATCACAGTGCTGGAAAAGCTGTTGTGAGGATGACATAAGTACCTTTGATGCTAAGGGCTCACTAGGTGTGGGGTGATGGGTGTGAGCAGGTGTTTCTGAGGACCACAGAGAAGACCAGCAAGGCTGGGGGTCACATTTAGATGTGCTAAGTTCGAAAGTTTGGTTGTCACCCTAAATGCTATGGAAATTCACCGGAGGGGTTTCAGCAGAAGAGAGACAAGATCTGATTATCTTTAAAAATGACAAGAGAATGCTTGTAGGGGTCAAGAGGAGGAACAGCAAGACTGCAGGGCAGACCAGCAGTGGCAATGTGGAGGGACGTCTGTGGCTGCTGGAGAGGCTGTGGATGGGCAGGGTTTGGGGGCAAGGGAGAGGGAAATCCAAGGTGAGAGCAGCTGGGCAGATGGTGAAGTTGTGTCTCAAGCTGGGGAGGCCTGGCTGGTTTCAGGGTAGAGCCCTAAGGGAACACCTGCTGTGGATGTGACGAGTTTAAGACGCCTGCTGTGGTCAAGCGCGGGGGAGAAGTCAGGAGGCCGCTCATGTCTGCAGCTCGGTGAAGAAAGGCATTTGAAAGTCAGACATCATCCCAGACTGGGGACCTTGGAGAGAGAGAAGCATGAGCCCTGGGCCTTCCAACATGAGGATTCTGGGGAGACAGGGGGACAGTGCAGCCAAGCAAGAAGAAGGAAGAAGTAGAACTGGGGAGGGAAGTACCAGGGGAGCCCAGAGAACAAAGGGTTTCAGGAAGGAGGGCATAGTGAGCCTTGGAGTGTAACCTGCCACCTAAGATAGAGGGTGATAAACACAGCGCTCTGGGGGGCTCTGAGCACAGTTCCAATTGTTTCCTCAAGGTCATGTCTAGAAGTGGAATGAGGATCAGAGGGAGGCCTGTTTTTAAGGCCCCAGTTGCCCTCCTGATAAACTAAATCCATGAACACCTTAGTAGCCAGACTCATGGTGGGGATTTCGTACAGCTGCACCACGGAGGATATGGAATTCCATCTAAGGCAAGTTTTCTTCCCCCAGTTACAGAAAAGTGTTTTCTTGTAGGTCACTGGATGGAAATAGATATTCGGTGGTGGGGAAGTCCTTATGTTTATTGGAGGGTCAAAACCCCGGGTGGCCCTCAGGCTTCATCACAAACCTGCCAATGAGCTTGAACCTACCTTGGTCTCCACAAGGGGGAAAGGGACAGCTGGACCCCTCTAGTCCAGGCTCTCTGGAGTATGGTGGCCTTTGGAAACTCTTGTCCTCAGCGAAATACCCACCCATGGATATCCCCAGAAATGGCCTAGGACAGAGCTAATTTCAGCTCTCTCCCTACTAAGGAGGTGACCAAGGGTCAGACAGGATCAGAGAAGGCAACAAACTGCTCAGGGTCACACAGTGCATTGACAACAGATGAATATCCATTTCTCCACCTATAAAATGGGGTCAATTTCTAATTCACACAATTTTCAAGAACTTGAAAAGAGATTGCAAAGTCAAGTACAGGGATAAGTGTTTAATAAATGTTAGCCTGAAAAAGCAAAGGGGAGAAGTATAGGGGAAAGGCATTTCAGGTAAAGGTAAATGTGAGCAAAAGCTTAGAGGTGGAAGACACCAAGGCCAATTCCTACAGTCTTTGCCAGCTGCAGGAATGGTGCCCCGCAGGGGTGGATGAGGCGGGAGGTAGGTAGAAGCCAGGTGACAGTGGGCTTATGGGCTTTATTAATCTGGGAGGCATGATGGGCCAAGCAAGGGGGCAGGGACTCAGGCAGATCTGAGTTTAGAAAGTCTACCATGGGGCCTTGTTGACTTGCTGTGTGTCCCCAAGCTGTCTCTGTCCCTCTCTGGGCCTCAGCCTCCTGCCTCTATAGCAGTGAGGATGGCTCTGATCAGGGTTATCAGGGTTTGCAAATATGTATCTCCCTTTCTGAGTTTCCTTCTTTATTGTCTTCCTACCTTGGACAGGGCCTTCTGCAAGCAGGACTTTGTCATCTGTCCCCAGAAGCCACTGTCTCCAGCACCAAGCCCAGGGTCTGGCACGGGGCTGAATGAATGAATAGATGAATGAGTGCATGGATGGATGGATGGTTGGATGACATCCTTTCCCTTTAGGAGGGTGGGGGTAAAGTAGAATCCCCAGCTCTTACTGCCCTCCACACACCCCTGCAGATCTGCCTCCAGGGGCTGGACACTGACCCACTTGCCAATTTTCTTTCTCTCTTTCTCTCTCTCTCTGTCTGTCTCTCTTTCTTTCTTCCTCTCCAGACAATGGCTTTCTTTGAATTATTCTTTCTGGAGAGCAAGAACACTTTAATGCTGGCACCAAAAAGCCAACATTTGTTCTCCAGGTGTGGGATGAAGGTGCCTTTGATTTTCTCCTTTACACATTTCTCTGTTTCCTTCTATGAACATTTGTGGCTTTCAAAAGAAAGAGCAATGATACAAAAGAGGTTAGCAGATTACACATACAAATAGTTTTTAAACATAAGAAAAAGTGTGCAGCATCCTCCAAATAAAATAAATACAAATGATAACTACCTTGAGAATCCATTTTTCCAACTATGCAAGTGGCAGAGATCAAAGTTGGCTAAGGTCTGTGTTGGTGAGGAAATGGCTGGCTCGTGCATGCTCAGGCAT